ACTATTTTAACAGATCTGTGGTAAGGGAATAAAATGCATCATAATTGTAAAGGACCAGACTTTGGTATCTTCACTGATTACCATTAAATTGGTAATTAAATACATAAATGTGCCATTAAATGCGTCATCAATTTATCAAAATATAATTTCATTTAATGTAAAAACATATAATTAATTCACTATTTAATTCTTTATTATATGGACCTTTGATGCAGTGCTTCATGACTGTATTTTATCTGTCAAACTCACCCATCAACATCAGTGGGTGAATCCTAACACCTGAATGATTACCCAGCACATCAAGTCAAGACAGATTGACTCCAGATAATGGATTGATGCAGCCACTTTGCGACAATATCTTGGGAATATGGGAATAACTCCAAAAATCCAAATAAATAAACTAAATAAAGGTTTTATCTTTAACCATCCTGTTGTGTGTGTGTGTGTTTGTTCCTAGTCCAGCTAAAACCAGTTGATGTTATCACCCTTAAACCAAACTCCCATAAGCTGCATGTAAAAGTTACAGTTGGTAGTTAATAATAATCATAATTAATCCATAAATGTAATAAATAATATTTTTATGACATTTTGTATCCTTGGATCCTTTTTGAAAGACTCATAATTCAACACTGTCTCTGCATCCTGGACTTCTTTACTGTCATAACTTCCTTCTGGGGTTAACAGTATATGACCAGGCTGGCCCTTATACTTAGGTGTTTCTGATATTAAGTGGATTTACCATGACATGCAGTCCTGACATAATGGGCTCTATTTTCGTGCCTCGCCGGCGACGCGGCGCATGCGCAGCGTAAGTCAGGTCCGCTGTGCGGACAAGTCGTTCCCAAGCACAATTTGGTATTTTGGTGAGCGGCACAGCCCAGCGTAAGTTTCCCGCCTCCCTAACTCAGCTCCTCCCAGTGGCGTAAGTCATAGGGAGGAAGGAGAGAAGGTGTGGAGTGGGTTTAACACAGCCAAGACCTGTTTTCACCAATCACATAAGCTCCTCTCCTCGCCTTTAAATCCGCAACCGACGAGGTGTATTACAATTTTCGTGAAGTAGTCAAAGAGATCAAGAGATGTCTGAAGACAGCAATCCACATGATGGCGACAGAAGGCAGCTCCTCAACAAGTGTCACTGTAAGTGCTGCAGAGGGCGTCCTGCACACTGTCTCATATAAGCACAAATAGATTTGGTGTGTGTAAGGTTGGACCCACTAGTAAGACAAATATCCTTTTCCACAACTAAAGACACTCACATAAAGTTGCATATATTTAAACCTCACGTGACTAATGTGGGTTGTGCGCACAGATCACGACATAAATTCCAATAATGGCGGAACCATCTGTGCGTAATGATGCATCGCACTCCATGGCCTGGCTCTTTCTTTCATAGATGTTGGCATATAAAATAAATTTGGCTCACAAAACTGAATATTATAATATTCGTATGTAGGCTTAAAGTAAGAACTCATGTGATCACTGAAACAATTCATCTGTTCAGCCACCGCAGCAGCAGCTGCAGCAGGACGGGGAGAGGACACGGAGACACGTCCAGGTCAAGCTGCGTGAGAAATAAGTGGAAGAGGAAGACAGAAAGGGAGGGAGACGAATTACATATCTTGTTAACTTCATCATGTGTGTTTATTTACTAGATATTTAATTTAATTTAATGCGGTTTCATCTGTGTTAATTCGGTCAGGTTGAGTGTCCAAACGCGTGCCAAACGCGCTCATCGGATCAGATATAGATCAGAATATATCTATATGTATGTGCTGACTCAGATTATAAGTTGTTGTTGATTATTTATTGCACTGAAATGTGCCTGACACTGTGGAGACCTGCCTGTGAGGCATCGGTGACATATGCCAATACGCAGCCGGTCTACCAAAATACCACTAGACCAGCTGCACTCCACCTGCGCTGAAAGCTGACCAGATTTGAATTGGCGAGCTTTCAGCCAGCTGATTCTGTCAACACCTCCCCCTGCCACGCCACTGCGCCCAGCTTGGCGGACCTCAGTGCGCCTCAGTCTACGAAAATACCACTGCGCAGAGTCCGCCACCCTCTGCCACGTCCCTGGCAGAAACGAAAATAGAGCCCAATGTCTTTGGAATGTCAAATGTAAAAAAAATCCCATTCATTTTCATATTGAGTTTTTAAACTGGGTCTTCTTTTCATTAAGTGCGAGACCACAACTGAAGTGAGGTGATCCAGATGATCCCAACTATGTTTCTGTGGATGATCCTGGAGTTTTAACCACATTTCATCTGGACAAAAGAGATTTCACGGAAACAGAAATACATGAATCGGGAAGTCCCCTCAAAAAACATGATCAGACCCCACACACCTAAACCTCAGCGGGTCTGAAGAATTCTGAACTATAAAGACTGTGAAACAGCATCCTGCTTGAAGCTGTAATAAACTCAGTGATGAAACCGATGCATTAATATTGAACCTTTAAACACACAGATAACCATTTATTAGACACATATAGAAACACAGAGGATTCTTTTGTGCCATATGTAGCTATTGGAATTCAAAATAAATGTCCTAAAATAATAGATTTAATTATGACATTTATGCACTCGTTGAAGGGGCGCCACCCATCTTTTCCTGGTGGGAATTAGGAATCCATTGAGTAATAAAACACTGAATCAGTCTGAAACAGATTTAAATCAATCTCACATCTGAGGCCGAAATTCTCATTTCAGGGACTTCACTTCTGGAAGGACCACTAAGAGACTACAACTTAAAATTAAATGGACCATTTATTGACAACTACTAGATGATAACATAAACTCAATAAATGATGATCAAATAATGAGAAAATAAAAGAACACCTAATGAATAAATGAAGGAATGGTTCGAATTGAAACTAAGACTGGGGGTTAATGATAGTAAGTGAATAAAGAAAAATTTAACCTACATTAACAGAGTTACGAGGATAAATTTAGAAGGGGAATTTGGAGAAACTAAACTATAATTAAGGATATAAGCAACTGAACGCTTGACAGCATCACCCAGTTGATGCAGCAGTGTCGAGGGGTTTGCCTACTTATTTGATGTCGGTTCTCAGCGGCAATCTTGGAGTGGATTGGCTGAAGTTCTTTGGCTACCTGTCAGAATAATGTGTATAAATGTATATAGAAGTTATCATCTTACTCAAATTCTTAAGTAAGAGTTTGCTAAAAGTATGAACTGTTTTAACCTCTTGTTACACATCACATAAGTGTTTTCTAACTTCTCTCTCCAATAGCTTTATCAAACAGCACATGAGTGTTTCCTAACTTCTCTGACCTTGTTTCTCCTATCAGCAGGTATGTTTGTGATGTAACCTCCACTGTGAATCGTGGGAAGTAATAAGGAGGATCTGCTCCAATCAGAAGGAGCTTGTTTAATGTCAACAATGTCGCCTTGACCCTCACATATTACCTGTTGTTCATAATTATGTTTTATGAGAGTGCTTACGCTGCTGCAGATAGTTTCCCCCATCCTTTAGTGTATGCAGCGTTGTGGAACCAGGGACAACCCTAAATAAAAAGAGACTGGACAGAGATACCTTCAGAATGGTTTTGAGATTGTAACTGAAACTATCTCTGCCCATTCTCCTCGCGAGTAAGAAATCTAATACCATTGTCTTTCTTTTCTTTGTGTGTTTTCAGTCATTTTTGCAGGTTTTAGACCCAACACTACCGGACCAGATGCTGAAGGTTCGGCAAGAAGTTCTCAGCCATAAATGGGTCTCAGGTTTCAGTACCGTGTCAGCACCATTAGATACTTCAGTTCTCTTGGCCTCTCGGAACCGGGTGGCAAACGCAGCTCGGCAGATGATGCTGGTCGATCCTGCGGGTGGTCAGGATCAGCTTTACTGCAGATTAATTCACGCCAATAACTTAAGAAAATAATTTCTCTGCCCAGCCGATATTATCTTCAGGAGTCACTTTAGCGAACTAAACAAAATAAAAGACTTAGACTTAGGTACTCTATGCAGGCAGCTAGTTACTGATGAAACGTGGGGAAAAATTACGAGACGATGGACAAAAACACCAACGAAGGGAAAACACAGGAGCGAAAACACAAGAGAGTGAACAGCAAAAGCAAAGCTCTTTTAAGCAGTTCACGTGGGGTGTGAATCGGAAGAGGGGGGAACTTGTGCACTTTTTGTTCACAATGCAGGCCTGTCGGCTGACAAGCGAATTAAATTTAACTTGCAATATTAAGAGCAAGCTAGATCTAATTTACTCACTTACTATGATTAAAGCCGTTTATAAAATCACATACGATCAAGTTTTACTTCATTGTTTCTCATGGGCAGATGCATCAAACCATAACATTATACGTAAACTTTAATCAGCCGTTTTCTTGGTAATCTATAACCAGAGGGTTAACAACTCTTTGAAAGTAAGAGATAGCGGGGCGGATAATACGATATTATAGGAGTATCGTTCACTTGCGGATAAAAGCACCAAAATTGGCACACATACTCCTTAGGAGTTGCTCTTTTGATATTTCCATCTGGCCAAATGAAAATTTAAGATGGTGGCCATTTTTCAAGATGGCCACCATTGAAAATACAGTAATATTGCATTTTGCAATAAAATCCCATTGACTTGTCCTATTTGGATGATCTTGGTGTCAAATCATACATTTTCCACTATGCAGAATCCAAATTTGGACCCATGGACTTACTTACTGGCTTCCTTGTACCATATTTCAGTCCCAGAATCCTAATATTCTGATCCTAATTAGGTCTGAATCATGTGAGACTTGAGTAAAATGGTTGGTAGCCTATATCTTAGTGTTGTTAGAGGTCTAGTGTGTGTGTGTGTGTGTGTGTGTGTGTGTGGGTTGTGGGGGGGGGGGGGTTGCAAGGAGGGCAAGGGCGTGGGCAAGGGTGTGTCCTCACTGCACATATCAGTCACAGAATCATAATATTCTGATAAATTAGAATTTCACCTAAAATGCATGGTAGCACCATGGGATCACTCTTTGTCTGGTCTCTATCCTTCGAGCTGTTTGGCGTGGGTGACCCTGGCTGCAGTGAGCAACCCACCAATAAACCGTTTAGACCTCCTGTTGGAGCCAATTAACTCTGAGTGGGTGACAGTGAATTTCTGAAGCTGCTCTAACATGTAAGTAATGTCAGACTCTGCATGACTCACGACTTCCCTGCTCCAATGTGTCCCGGCCCAACTGGTCAGCTGAGCCGTTACTGGAACATTTTTCCAGAGGACTTCCTTAGGGTTGAGCCTAACAAACACCATCTCTGTGTGCAGGCGACAGTCCGTTATCAGGAGTCCAGGCTCATCCCTCAATACAAATCCGGAGTCCGGTCCTGACTCTATGATGTTGGGGCTAGCTGGAGCAGCTACCAAGCCGAGAATCAGGAGCGCTATCAGCCAAATCATCCTGGGGAAGAGGATGGACATCATTAGGATGACTTGGTATTAGACAATCTAAAATTCAAATGGTCACTATTAGAGATGCACCGATAAATCGGCTGCCGATTTAAAAAGCCGGTTTTATATCCAACCGGCCCCAACCAGTGACCGGCCGGTCACTGTCGTAATTTGCCGGTTTTCCCCGAGCAAACGGACACGCATGCGCGGTGTGTATCAGCTCAGAGCAAAACTGCTAAAAATTAGCAAGACTCAGGAGGAAAACATGTCGGTGATTTGACACTGTGTGCCAGAGCGACCCAAAACACGCTGTTTGTAATGCTTGCACGTCAAAAGTCAGCCATGGAGGATCAACGCCTAAGACATTTGGAACAACAAACTTAATACGCCACTTGGAAAAGAAGCACCCAGGCTTGTTTAGCAAATATAAGGAATACACTGCCGCTAAGAGGAGGGATGCAGCAGAGTCGCAGCGAGCACAACAACCCTCCGCCGTGGCTCCTATGTTCGACATCAGCACTGAAAAGTCCAAAGCCACCACTAGGAAAATAATGGAGTTCGTGGCACTGGAGGTCCAGCCGTTTAGCGTAGTACAGGATAAAGGCTTCGTAAGTCTGATGAAACACCCGACTTGGTAATTTGTACCGTGGACTCAGGTGTTTATTCCCATGGGGTTGTGGTGAAGTTTGATCTGGTTGCGGTGGACCCATTTGAAGGACGGCTCTTTGTTGACCTTTGTTATCTTGATTTGGTACACAATGGAAGAGAGCTTTTCAGTGATCAGGTAGGGGCCTGCCCAGCGGGGCAGGAACTTTTGTGCCAGTCTCCCAGACTTTGGGGCTTTGTCTCCAGTGGAACAGGTAGTACCACACCTTTTTGCTCACCTGGAATTCTTGTTGGGAGGCTTTTTGGTCATAATAGGACTTGCACCCTTCTGCACTTTTACTGAGATGCTCTTGGGTAAAGGCAAAAGTTGCCTTCAGGTGCTGGTGGAGGTCAGTCATGTACTGATGAGTTGTGTGGGCCGTTGCAATGCTGGCCTCACATGGCTGATACAGGTGCAGAGACAGTGTCATCTGTCTGCCCATCATCAGCTCAAAGGGTGATAACCCGGTTGACTCGTGTGAAGTCACTCTGATGGCCATCAGGACTAAGGGAAGCTTAACATCCCAGTCCTTGTGGTTGGCCAACACATACTTTTTCAGTGTGGTTACCACTATTCGATTTGCTCATTCCACCTGTCCAGACAACTCCGGGTGGTGGCTGATGTGGAAGTGGGCTTTGACGCTCAACAGTTGCCACAGTTGTTGCATGACCTCTGATGTGAAGTGTGTCCCTCTGTCAGAGTTGACACGAATTGTAGGTCCAGACTGCGAGAAGAAGTGGTTCATCAAGAGGCAGGCAGTGGTCTGAGCTGTATTGTTTGGGGCTGGTAGGCATTCTACCTACTTGGTGAATGCACAGACAACTGTGAGGAAGTATTTGTTTCCTCACGCCGACTTAGCGAGAGGGCCCACCCAATCGATCTGGAGGTCTGACCAGGGAAAGGAGATATCTATGCCCTGTAGAGGCGCTCTGTGAAGTGGATTTGCTGGTTAGAATTGGCAGCAAACCAAGCACCCTTTGATGTAGTCAGCTACACCTTTCTGCATGTGTGGCCGATAGGCCACCTGTTGGAGTGCCTGGAGCATGGCTTTGTTTCCTCTGTGTCCTGCACACGGTGCGTCATGGGTGTATGTCAACATCACCCCCCTGTGGCTGCGAGGCACCACCAAGGCAGGCAAAGTGAGTGCATTGGAGACATAAACAAGAAAGCCCTTGACGAGTCGAAGTGAAGAGCACACATGGAAGAGATGGCGCAGGTCAGGAATTGAGTTAAGCAAGCCAGAAGACATGGAGGAGCCAGGAGGCACTGAAAGGAAATGGGTCAGACGGGTGGCAGCAACGGAAGGGTCCGAAGCCTGGTCCGAGTCAGAAAAAGCCGGAGCCACAGTGGGGCCGGCCACCACAAGGCGGACCACAAGGTGGAGCCTGAGTCTGGGCTCTGGTGACAGCACAAACAACGGGGTCGGGTGGTTGGGGAAAATCAGAGGGCACAAATTGCCAGTGCAAGCCAGTTAAGGCTCCCTGCTTGGCCAAAGAGTCTGCTTGGTCGCTAAACATCTTGTCTGGACCAGGAACATGAAAGTGCCCCCTGACTTTCTTCCAGTAGACCTGAAGATCATGTTTAGTGGTCAAGAAGTCACATGCCAGGAACTGTTCTTTGTGTTTGACCGGCTTTCTGTTCTTTCTGAGCTCAAGAAACTGAGTGGTTTACATGGTTTGTTGTCGACCCAGATGATGCCTATGCCAGCCCGGACAACTTTGTCGTGATGGTATGCGCAGCCATCAACATAAGCTGTAATCATGTCTTTGCAGACATTGTCATCAAAGTATCAGTGGCAAGATTGTTCAGGGGGCTCAGGGTTGCAGGTTGGGGACCCTGTGTCCAAGCCATCCATCAAGCAGCTTTGGCAAGTTCCATACCAAGAGGTGTTTTGTGATTTTGGGTGTAGTGAACCTCGATGTCAAAGCTCTGAAGAGCCATAAGCCAAGATGCTACACAAGCATTAGTCACAATGCCATCTCTAATCCTTTGGCTGTTAAGGAAGGTCACTGGTTGGTGGTTGATTTCCACAATCACCTTTTGGCCTCTGAGAAAATTGGAAAAATGCTTCACTGCCCACACAGTGGCGAGAAGCGCTTTCTCGCTGTCAGAGAACTTCAATTCAGGAGCCAACAAGGTTTTGCTAGTGTATGCTATGCCCTGCCTATCTGAATCATGGATTTGGAATAGTCCTGCACTGAGGCAGTGACTAGAGAAGCTGACCTCCAGGTAGAATGGTCTGTTGCAGTCTGGGTGGGCAAGACAAGGAGCTGCACAAAGTTTGTCTTTCAAAGCTTGCATGGCTTGCTGTTGAGACGGCCCCCAAGTCAATGGCACATCCTTTTTCAGCAAGTTGGTGAGGGGTTTCTCCAAGTCTGCATAGTCCTTAATGAACTGTCAGGAGTGGTTGCACAAACCAAAAAAGCTGTGAAGCTCTGAGATGTTCGTGGGAGCTTTAAGATTTGACAGTCCCTGAATACGACTCAGCTGCAGTTCGACACCTGTTGGACCAACAAGCAAGCCAATCTAATTCACCTTGGTTCTGCACCACTGACATTTGGACAGGGATATCTTTGCTCCAGTGTTTGTGAGCTGGCTTTGGACATGGTCTATCTCAGCAAGATGCATGTCCAGGGTCTGGCTCCTTATTAAGATGTCGTCGACATATATGAGGGTGACTCTTTCACTAGCATTTGGGCAGGCTTTGTTGAGGAAGATATTGAACCCGGCTGGCAAGTTGGCATAGCCAAAAGGGCATCGGGTGAAAGTGTGTTGCCTGTTGGCAAAAGTGAAAGCCAGTTTGTGCTGATCAGCTTTGTGTACTGGTATCATCCAGAACCCTGATGCCACGTCAAGAGTGGAGAAGTATTTCGCATTTTTGATCTTTGGCAGATCTTGTTGGAGCTGAGTCATAGGCCACCTGGAAAGGGGAACCTGTTGGTTCAGTTTACGGTAATAGATGTTCAGCTGCCATTTACCGTTTGGTTTCAGTACCAGCCAGAGTGGGGCTGAATAGGTACTGTTACATAGTTGATCCCTTTAGCCAAAAGATTGTCCATGATTTCCTGAAGAGGTTCATAGCATGCCAAGGGAATTTTGTACTGGCTCACAAAAAATGGGGGTGCATTCGGTGGTGTTGGGATGTGGACAGAGTGGATGGAGGTTAAGCCTCAGTCAAGCGAGTCTTTTGCAAAAGAAGCTCGATATTGGTGCAGAATTTTGCGAAGTTTTTCACACTCTTCTTCGCCATTCAGGGCGCCTCCCTCGGCTAAGAGCTGTTCCACTTTGGCGTCAAAGGCTGGATCATGCTCAGGTGTTTGCACTGTAGGGGAGATAGAGGGCTCTTCCCTCAGAAAGTGTAGAGGCCGTTTCTGGCTCCGAACCGACATTTAGGACTTGCACTGTGTGCAGAACCATCTGTGAGTCCTCAGAGAGGTCGACCTGACAGATGGTGTCATGGTCCAGTGGAACAGTTGGTAAGAGAGATATAGCCCTGGAAGGTAGGGTATGAAAGACCTGCTCCGGTGAATGGTCTGAGATAAGAGAACGAGGCATTTTTCCTATTACAGGAATCCTTAATTCGAAGTTGTGGAATGAAGTGCTGATCAACCAACCCAGCGGGGTGGATTAAGGGATCAGGATGTCCTCCGATGTCGTGTTTTGTACAAGCAAGTGTGTGAATCTAGAGTGAAGCTCTAAAAGAGGGGTTGCCTGGGTAGACAGCCCGTGTTTAAGAAAGAGCAATGATGGCTGGAAGAAAGCTTGGGTGTGCAACAGCTGTTGTCCACATTGTAGGTTCAAGTGAATGGGAACGTCTTTGGTCATTGCAGGTATGACAATGTTGTGGTCAATGGACACCTGACAGGCTTCAGGGATCGACTGTCCTGATTTGATGTTATCGACATCAGGAGTCTGGGTTTTGTCATGTACACCTGTAAGTGACCACAGCACATTGTTAATGGTATCAACCTGGACTGCCAACCTGACCAGTATATCACTTCCCATGTAGACATGATGTGGTAGGTCTGGGATGACCAAGAAGTGGTGTGTCATCTCCCTTTTGTTCCACCGTAAAGTTAAGGCACAGACGCCCTCAGCTGTAATGGTAGCTTTAGGAAGGGAGTCCAAAGGGAAGTGAAATGCTTTCCAAATGCACGGAAGGTTTGGGTCATCCCTAGACAAGGTGTCATACAGTTTGCGGCTGATAGCTGATTTATCAGCCCAAAGGGCCAAAATCGCATTGTCGACATGATTTCCATTCAGCTTAACTCCATCAGTGATCAATGGCCCGGGAATGTCGGGTCCATTGGTGTCATCAAATTTGCACAAAAACGTGTCTCTTTTCATGACTGAGTCGTCGAAAGGCCTCGAGCAAGGTTGTGGCTCATGGTCAGACAAGTAGGTTAACTCCAGTGAACTCACACTTGCCGGTGTGCTTGGAGAAAGTTCATGCATCCGGGCGTAACACTTAGCCTGTTTTCGGTCAGTTGCTGGTATGTGTAATGGTCTGCGGACCTGTGTCCATATTTTCAGCTGTCGATAATCGATCAGGGGCTCAAACCGTTTTAAGAGGTCTTGACCAATGAGGAAAGGAATCGGCTCAAGGGTTGACACATACACAGGGTGCATGATGTTCATTGGTCCAATGGAGATGTTCAACATGGTCATTGTTTTTAAAGTCCTACTGTCTGTGGAGTATGGCAGAATCTCCATGGCGCACGGCTGCATCTTGATGTCCCTGTTGGACTGCTGCACTATGCTGCACAAGTGGTTGAAAAGCATTGCAGACATCAATGATGTCAGCAGCAGTGTCCAAGAGTGCTTTGTGTTCAAGTTCATTTTCAAGAACAGTGTTGATGTAAAACTTCTGTGTGATGCCTTTCTCAGTGAGGTTGCACAAAAATTGGAGAAAGGGGGTTCAAGCTGAATGAGTGAGGAGTCTTCTTTGGCTGGCTCCTCTGCGGATTTCACCTGAACTACCAAGACAGCGCTGGTAGATGTAGTTTCCTGCGATGTACTGTCTTGAGGTTCAAGATCGACAGTGATGTCAGCCAGTGGAAGCGTCGCCAACTCCTGTAGGGACATACGCACTTCCTCCTGAACTGCAGTCTGCTGGACAGACACAGTGCTTGGCTCAGAAGTGTCTGGCTGGACGGCAGCGACGGTGATGGCGAAAAGATCTGCTTTCTTATCTCCTTTTCTCTGTACTCTACTGAGTATACGCCTAAGAAGTCTGTCTTCTTCCTCTGTCAGGTCAGAGGACTTTGATTCACCTTTAGGCCCATCACCCTTCTGGGGAGGGTCTAATTTGGTCTTTGTACCCGTCTCTTCATCAGAGGGTACCAACTGAGACTGCTGGTAAGGTCGATCAGAGTCTCATCCCTGGCGTGGACCGTAACGATCTGACCGGTCTCTCCACCCCCTGTTGTTTAGGGCGAGCCCCACCCCTGCGAAAGTATGAGGGTAGACGATTTTCGTCAAATCTGACCTGGTGTTGTCCACTGTCAGACCAAGGTTGCTTTGGGTTTCGACCTTTATCAGCTGTCTGATATCAGGATGCCTTTAGATTCTGGGATGGTCGGGCGGTTACAGGTTGAGGTGAATCTGAGTGCGCACCAACTGCCCCGCCCTCCAGGCCTAGGGGCATAGACTTTGTGTCCACAGCCAGGACAGTACCAGGTTCTGATTTCTTAGATTAGGTGTGGCGTTGTTAAGCAAAGCCTTTTACAGCCAGTTCGCGGAGCTGTCTGCTGTCTAAGGTTCGGGGACAAGCGATGACACCAAGGTGATGACTGGTGGTGGGATGGAGGTTTTGAACAAACAAGGTTTTGAAGTTTAGGTCCTCCTCCATTTCAGGTTCATTTTGACAACCAAAGTAAGCCTGGCGCAGGCGACTGTAGTATGACTGGGGAGATTCCTGTCTCTCGTGTTTGACTAACAGTGTAGCGGCTAAACCAGTTGGCATAAGTGAGTCAGAGAACTCGTCAATAAATGCCTGGCACAGCAAGTCGTAGTCGTTCTTGACCTGACGGGGGTTGTCGTTCAAGAAGCTGCTTACCTCTCGATTGAAGGTAGCTTTGATCAAGTAGATTTTGTCATCCACAATAGCACCTGGAAACTTCCTCAAGTAGAAGTAGATGTCTTTCAAGTAGGTGATTGGGTCTTCTGAACCTTTGCGATTGGGTTCAAAGCGTGTGATATTACGCGCCATTTTGTAAAGATCCCTGTCTGTGGGATATGCTGCTTGACGAGCAGCAGGTGTGGACTGAGGTTGGTAGCTCAGAGATAGCCTCGTAGGGCCGAGAGAGTAACGATCAGGCCCTTGTGAATGATACCCAGCAGTGGTTGGTTGGGAGAGGTGCGACAAATTATGACCAGGGGTCTGTCCAGTGTAACCAGAGCTTGACTGCCCTGATGTCCTTTGGAGATACGACTCAGTCGAAAAGTGGGGTATTGGAGTGCCTGTTGATCACTTGGTGAGCTTTGGCCACTCTGATCTTGCTGGTGTTGACCCGGACTAAGTTTCTTTTGAGCCTCTATGAGAAGTTGCTTTAAATCTGCAGAATGTCTTGCTTCAGCTTCAAGGGCCACCTTTTTGCTTTCAAACTGGGCCTTCCGGTCCCTCGCCTCAGTTGAGGGCTGATCTAGGCAGCTCTTCATTCTTGACAGCTCCTGTAATTTCTCAAGAACTGTTGAATTAGTACCCGAAAGCTCAGCTTCCTTTCTCTCAATGGTGTCATGCAAGTCTGAGATTTGGTCTACTAAGGAAGGGTCTTGATCAGGTGGGGATGGAGGCTCTGTTTGCATCTCAGTCAAGCAGTCTTGAGTCTGCTGTAGAGCCCTTTCGGTGTATCCCAACTCCCCTTTGAGATCATCAGTTTCATTCATTTGTGCCTGTATTTGTGCTTTGGCACTCTCCATGGCTTCGTCCTGTCTCTTGAGTAGGACAGACATCACAATAGCCAACTGTGCTAAAGCTCTGGGGAAGTCTTTTCTTTAGGTGGGTTCTGTGTGACCCAATTAATCACCCCAGCCAGTACATTTTCAAGCCTGCTGGCATCAGCGTCATTCATCTCAGCGACATAGCCTGGGAGCAGCGGCTGAGTCAGAGTTGTCAGTGCATGCTGTAGCTCTTCACTGAATCTTTGCCAACCTGCCTCTTGAAGATCTTCCATGTTGATTCAAGTTTAGCAAGGTTGGTAGGTTGATGACTTTTTCAAGAATAGCAGTGCTTATGAAACGATTGAGAAAATTGTTGAATTTGGGACCAGAAGATAGGCACTTAAAGCAAAGTCTGGTTCATGATAAGATAGCTGGATGATTATTTGCTGGATGAACGCAAATTTTATTTGCTGGATGCTGGATGAAAAAGTGTGGCTAAATGGAGGGTTCAAAATTTTAATTTTTGTTGCCGAACAACGCCACCTGGGGAGTTTCACCCCATGAAATACACCAGACCCTTACAAACTGAAGGTCACACAGATTCGTTACACCAAAAATAGGGAGGACGAGAGACAGACTTCCAAAAAGAATAACACAATTTTATTGATTAAAACTTTCGTTTTTAAAAGAGCACAAATATGAATAATAATCATCTGAGTGCCAATAAACAATAAATGCACTAAATAAACAAAAGCGGGAACAAAGAGACTTGGTAGCAAACAGACAAAAATAAAAAGGAAAAAGTCAAAACCAAAGAAAACCACTGCAAAACAAAGAAAATCACTACAAGCCAAAGAAAATCCAACAAACCAAACCACCATGTGCCACGGCAAACTAAAGGGAGTGAGGGGGGAGGCCACCACCGGGGAAGTCTGTCGCAAGCTCCTGAAAAAGAAAGAAGAAAATCAATACTATGATTGGTCACTCAAAAAGCAATATGTAGAACTGTTAAAAAATGGGATACCTATTCTAAAAAAACACACACACATACAGCACGTGCACACACAACCACAGGAAAAAAGAATAAACCTAACTTAATTGGATAATGAACTTAATAACAAAACAAATGTTCTGGATATTAATATGTAAAATATTAATATGAAAAAAACAAACTAACAAAACATGAACCTCAGCTGTGGGCGGGGCCTGGGGTAGGGAGAAAGCCCAACAGCTGATAAATTAAAGTGAACTAAACAAAAGAAAATGTTTCAAAAAAAGAAAAAAAACTTACCAAATAAACCAAAGAAAAAAAAAAAATTAAACTCAGAAATAGGTTGTGGTGGAGCATTAACCAGTTCTTGGTACGGTATGGGACTCCAAAGAAGCAGCAGAGAAACAGAGCAGCCGCCCCGGGGCTGGAGGCCTAAGGAAGCTGTCCCCTAGGATGCCCAGCTGGCGACTAACGTAGTGGGCAGAAGTGGAGCCTCGCACAGAGCGCTGAGGAGAGGAGAGCCACAATCTGTGGCTCCAACAGCTACAGAAAAAGTAGGGCACGTTACCATGCAACAAACAAACAAAAAAACAAAAACACAACCAAACAGCTAGCCTACCAGAGCTAAGTGAGCTTTACGCACAGACCAAACCAGTCACCGTCTTTTAGATGATGGAGAGCCAACACCACACTTAAAGCACCTCTAGTACCTCCATGCCAGTAGCAGACCATGCTGTGAATGAAACATCACGGCTGCTGTCACACCAAGATACACAATTACAAAAGTCCGAGCATGAAAACTCATGCTTACCTTTTATGTCCCACAAATGATCAAACCAAATGACCAGCGGACGGCAACACAGCCCGTCGGGGAACGTCAGTTAACAACAGATTCAATGGTAGGACAGGACTTATAAAGGCACCGCCTCGCAATCAGGCCGGGCACAGCTGAAAATTAGACGCAGCTGGTGCCAATTAAGTGGAGGTGCAGCAGCAACCTGCCACAAAAGGAAGCTAAAATAAAATTTGGGAATTAAGTGCAAAAATAAAACCTAATCAAAGCCAAATCTCAAAAATCAAACAGGGTTTGGTCAAATACAATTTACCTAAAGGAATACAGGGAAACCTTTAGAGTAAATAGAGGCTAATCAGTTGAATAATGATTGGTTTTAAGTGTGGAAGGAGGGTAAAGGCTGAAGGTAATCAGGATTACCAATGTAGTCGTAGATGCACTTAAATCTTTCAATGTCTTCCAAGGTAATGAAAGTAAAGCTGTCCAAATTTAATTGACCTAAAAGGGATTAAAAACATTATCTGTTTGTTGATTAGTTAGGGAATTATTGAATCAATTGACAAATGTTACATTAATTGATTAATTAATTATTGCCCTAAGTCTGTGATCACCTTCACGTGTTCTATAAAGGGTCAAAGAAAGATGGAGGCAAGGAACAATGATTACAGGGTGACAAAGATTTGATTCAGCTATTCTGATGAATAATGAAGGTGATCTATCTGTATAAAATAAGAACATTTTAGAGTAAAACAACATTTTATCTATAGTACAGTAAGTGAATGTCAATCAACCAACTCAATATGACTAGGTCTGCATGGCATCTGTTTGACAACAGGAAATCGTGGCAGTCAGCTGTCACTGCAGTCTGTTTACAATACAGTCAGAGCAAAACAAAAGCTACGTGGCTGTGAGCTGGCTCACATTGTTTGCCGGCCACCACATGAGGGTGATGTTTTAAGGGGCGGTTCAACCGTCAAGTGCGTCGCAACGCGATGTCAGAAAGTAGCTATTGGGCTCCACCCCTCCGGGTGGGGTGCCTGTTCACGCACAGATCAACTAGTCTCTCTGTTGATCACAAAAGGTTTAATACCTTTAATACCTTGCTCATGAGCCACAAGAAAAACAACAGTTCACGCTGCGTCTATAACAGCGGAGAGTTACACAGACAGATCTCACAACAGCAGAGAAAACTGTAGACTTATATTCACAAAATGCGGCAATTTGTGAAGAAGAATTATATCTGAAATCACTCACCTCTCACTGGAAACAGTGATCTTCCGTGACAGGTAGCTAATCTGCCAGAGATGAGGAAACAAAATGAATCCCTTACAGTCACTAGAATTTAGTAGCAGACTATAGAGGGTTCGGGGCTTCAGAACCACGGCTCGGAGCTTTGCGAACACCGTGTCCAACCCAAGGCCTTTTAATACAAGCGTACGGCGACGCTGAAATCGTGCACCCAAAGGTTAACAGTCTGGAGATGCACATTAGCGGCACGCACAGCAGAAGACACAGCCTTGCTGCAATCAAAGCAATGATCCACATGGTCTAGGCTCACACACAAAGGTCTGCAGCAGAAAAATCAGCACTTTATCAAGAGCTCATATCATTAGTACATGAATCAGAAACACATCAAATGCCCAGTTCAGCAATTTCAAAAATGCATCAGAAATACATCAAGCATTCAATCCAGTAATTTCAGCAAACATAGCATAGATTTTGAGGAGTCTAAGGTGGGAAAGCTGGGTTTCTCACTAGTTTGGGGAGATAATCTGAGGGTCGTGAGTTTGGGCCTCACACGGGGCACCAAATAATATGTCGCGATTTTGAATTCAAATCGCTTCGCATAGATAACAGACATGAAACAAACCAGGACAACAGAATCTGTCTCTTCAAACAAACACCTTCAAGCAAAACTAGCACCCCACGGGGCACTGACAGGCCTGAGCAGTGTCATACTGTCACACCACCCTGTTGCACCACCCGCCACCACCAGTGCAAGGCTCTCCATGGCAGCCACAACCCTTTGTGATAGCTAATACTTGTGGCTGCCTTTCAGTGGTGTGGCTTATTTATGGTGAAAAGACTTTAACATATTTTTTTTTATTCCATCTTCCTCAACGTCTCTCTCTTTGAATTATACAATAAAGTTCTTCTTCCTCTTTTACAGACTGGAGAAGAAATAACATCAAAACTGTAAATGGTTTGCTTTGGAGGCAACCATTTGTAGGTGCTTGCAAAAAGCCTTACATGTGTTTGAAGGGGCGTTTTTGCCAAACCAAAAAATGTTTTTTAAATATTTTAAATTTTAAAATGTTTTTTTTTTTTTTTTTTTTTTACTTTTTAAGTGTTATCAGTGGTCTTTAAACAGTGATTATGAGGTTTTTAGCGAAAATCACATTACCTGTCATTTTCAAAGACTTCTCTTCCTCAGAGCTCGAGTAGCTCATTAGCAATTTGCCTCTAAGTCGTGGGCAGAGACTTCTCCTTAAGTTAGCTTGCAGCCTAACATTGCCAGTGTAGTAGAAGAAACAGGTAACATAGGAGCTATTCAGTTCGCGAACGCTAGTGTCTTTAGGGACATGATGAAAGCTAATATCAAATTAGCTTCCTCACAAGCATTTCAATCCAATCACAAGCATTTCAATTTCAATCCGATTGTTCCACGATCGTCCTCTCTATTTCTCCAAGCCTGGCCTACCAGTCCAACTTCAGGGGTGGAGTTTGGATTGGTTACGTAGGAAATGTCATTGTATCTGAGCCTGCTGTTTGGCTCTGCTAGAGATTCAATCAGATCTAATCCAATCCATTTATTTATATAGCACGATTAAAGCAAATGCAAGGTTTCCAAAATGCTGCACAGCAAGATAAAAATACAATAAATAACACAACCGAAGCACAATAGATAAGGAAAAAATTTTAGAGATAAAACAGTGAAATCAAATAAAAAATAACACAATAAATAAAACCAATAAAATAACAAACACAATGAAAAAAGATCATCTCTAACTACTCAAAGGAAAAGATAACAGCTAAAATACAACTAAAATTTGACAGATTTTTGAGAAGATGGAACCCTATAATTGTCTATTTCAAATTATCAACTTGAACTCTCTATACCTTTATTCACTTATTGACCAAATCCAGGGTATTTAAATGGTTAATGGAGAGATTAGAAGAAATTAGCCTTATTACAAGATGTTTTTTTTCCTTTACCTACTTATTTTGTTTTATATCTATGTAAATAATGGCACACGTGTGTATGAATTTAGGTGCACACTTGTGAATTTGTGTATGAACTCATGTGTGGGTGTATTTATACATACTTTAGTTGCTAACTTTGGACCAAGGTTTACTAAGGCCAAATATATGCCGCCTTATCTTTTCTTTACTGTGTATTAATTTACCTACTTTATCTGGTGGAGAAGAGATATTTTATGAACTAAATGGAAATGCTGAATTTATGAACCCTAATTTGAATGAGTTTGGCTATTTGATTAAACAGGGCAACCAAAATTTATTTGTATATCCACCTTTAATTGGTGCCGAATGAATTATATTACTATTTTCAGTATGAAATCTATTTTTGTTACTGTTTTTTAATGAACTGAAAAAGGAATTAGAAAAATTATTGGAAAAATTGTGTGAAAATGGTTTGAGATGGAGGACACCCACAAGTCTGCCACAATACTGTGCACATTGAGTGGTATATATTTATTTTGTCTTGTTTTTTGGATTTTTTTTTCTTTTCTTCTTTTTTCTCCTTGTGTGACTCTGATTTTGCGTAAATTAACGAAGTCAACCCCATACTGGGTGTTGAAATCCAAGGAGATAAAACAAACACAATCAATCAAATTAATAAAATAAAATAAATGAAGTCAACCTACTACTGGGTGTTAAAAGCCTAAGAGAAGAGGTAGATCTGAAAAAAACTGGCAAAGAGGAGGCCTTTCTGATGTGCTAAGGCAGGTTATTCCAAAGTTTAGGAGCTGCAACAGAAAAGGCATGATCCCCTCTGAGCTTCCGCTTTGTTTTAGGCTCTCTTAGGAGCAGCTGATCAGCTGACCTGAGAGACTAGGAAGGAGTATAAAAGTGTAGAAGCTTAGAGAGGTAAGGTGGGGCAAGAACATTGAGGAATTTAAAAATAAAAGAATTTTACAATGAACCCTAAAATGTATAGGCAGCCAGTGGAGTAAAGCACAAATGGGGTTAATGTGCTGGTGTTTTCTAATGCCAGTTAAAAGACATGCTGCAGTGTTTTGCACTATCTGGAGCCGAGAGATGACCAACGCACTGACCCCCACATATAATGCATTGCAGTAATCCAGCTGAGTGGTGACAAAGGCATGGATTACTGTCTCAAAATGCTGCCTGGAGAGAATGGGTTTCATTTTAGCCAGCTGCCTCAAATGGAAGAAACTTGATTTAACGACAGAGCTGATCTGGCTGTCAAGTTTGAGATCAGGGTCCATCTTTACCTCCAGGTTTGTAATGAACGGTGTCATGTACTGGGTTAGAGAACCAAGCTCTGGCATGGGGGTCCCACTGGTTCCACCAAAAACATCACCTCAGTTTTGTTGTTATTCAAATTTAAAGTTAAGAGCCATCCAGGCCTTGATGTCATCAGGACACTTCAGCAGCGCAGTGACAGAGTCTGTATCATTTTTCTTGATAGGAACACATATTTGACATCTGTCATCTGGAATGAAACACCATGTTTCCTAATTATGGAGCCAAGCTGGAGCAAATAATGAGAGAAGAGGAGAGGGCCAAGCACGGAGCCCTGTGGGACCCCACACGAGAGGGGAGCAGAGGAGGACACAGAGTCGCCAAGGCTAACACAAAAAATTCTGTCGGCCAAGTACGACCTGAACCACTCCAATGCTATGCCCCTAATGCCCACCCACTTGTCCAAGCCAGAAATTAGGATCTCATGGACCACTGTGTGGAAGGCAGCACTTAAAACTAAAAGCACAAGAATCACAGAATCACCAGAGTCTGTGGCTAAAAAGATACCATTAAAAACTTTTAAAAGTGCTGATTCGGTGCTGTGCAGCGATTTAAAACTGGGTTGGAAAATCTCTAGGATGTTATGCTGTTTCAGAAAGGCCATTAATTGACTGTAAACTACCTTTCAATGATTTTTGAAGGAGAGGGCAGTTTAGAGATAGGCCTGAAATGAAGCATAGCGTTAGTTCTGTCAGGACATGACGTCAAGCGCTGATCCACAGCCAATGGCTAGTAGCCACCTCAACCAGATGATAATCAGCTGATTCACTCCTAGCTCCTATTGGTCCTTTGCCTATAGAGCGCCTTATTTAAAACTGCACTAACCCAGCCTCTTCCTCTGCTCTGACAGCAAACCAGCAAGCTGCCGCAACCGCTCTGCACGCTCCCACTTTCAAGAACACTCAGAACTGCTTTTTTGCTTTTTCCTACCTTGCTCTTCATCATGTCGATCGCTGCCCACGACGAAGATCCATGGCATGGATGAGGCTTTTCTGAAATGCAACATCAGCACTGCGAAATCGAGGAAGACAGTCCTTGCAACGACAGCTGCATTCCCTTCAGTAGGAGCTCTCCTCTGGCAAGTAAAACTCAGGGCTCTCAAGTCTCACGCATTCAGCGTGTGACACACGCATTCCCACCCATTCACACGCCACACATTGTATTTCTCACGCATTTAAATGAATATGGTGACGTCCCCCAAGTTGCACCTCTTTAACTATAGAACAGGTAGGAATCAAGTGAGTTCCTCCGAGAGTTCAGAAGCTGCGTGCCACGCACAAGCCAATCAAGGAAAGTATATCTATTGAACAGCCAATCAAAAAGCAGCATTGCTGTATCCGGGTAGATTTTGATTTGATTTTGACAGACACTCGCCGAAATAGAGCAGGTTTTTATAAGGACAAGATAGACCCGATGATTACAGTAAGTCAGTAACCTACACATGCAGAGACCTCAACACCTCATGGCATATAAACACAAATGATAAACTTAAGCCCTATGCTATTGCTATTAACAGCTGTATTGACGGATTTAGCATCTGTACAGCCATTTCCCCCTCCACAAAGGAGCATTTCTCATATATTCTTTTTAAAGTTCTGATACTCATGACAGTGTAACGTGCATGTACCAAAGGACTGAGTATCTCCATGTTTGTGAAACCTATACTAAAGAACAATTCATCTAAATGCTCCACAGTGCTGATTTTAACAACTCTCCTCCACAACAGGTAACTTTACGACTTTATTCTTATAAATTAATGACTTTATTCTCCTAAATGATAACTTTATTCTCAAACATTTAAAAACGTTCTTTTTTTAATGTGGCCCTCATACTCCGTTGTATTTAAGAGATTATTATACTAATAATTATCTTCAATCACCCCCCCCCAAGGAAATCTCACTCTAAGCTTAGTTCAAAACTTGAGAGCCCTGAAAACTTCTATTTCTCCCAGCTTCAATGAACGGCCGGAGTCCGGGCTCCTGGAAGTCCTTTAAAAATAACATTACAGCTCCAGATGGTGCCTCACATCAAGAGTTTTCACCTTGTTTATGGAAAATATGCACATAGATCCTCCACTTGCAGTTCTCTGTTCCTCCTCTGTATCCAGAAAAGCGACCGAGAAAAGAAAACACTGTTCCCGCAGCGTCACGGCAGTTCCAGCTTCAGCCGCCGCGTCATCGCCGTCGCCTGCAGAGCGCTAAGCACAACCCCAGCTATCAGATCCGCGAACCTGGACGACAATCCCATCCTGAGAGCACTATCCAGCATCCAGCCATCGTTCTCCCACATGTCTTCAAGGATTCGAAGCCTCAGAATCCGGTTCGGCACGTGCTAAGCTGTCTCCCTTCATCCCAGCTGTTACCTGCATTCGATGGACGATGACGTCACTCCAGCGACAACCGACGATGGTCACCATCCCGCAAAAGACCCTGGGAAGTGCAGTCCCCGTCTCCACTGGCGTCCAATTCTTCCCTCCCGCGGCTGCATTTACACCTAATCCGCGGAGCCAAATCCTTGCAGGTACTGACATTAGTCTTGCTGTGCTCAAACTACAATGATAGATGCATTGTTGATTGCGGAGATGAGTCTGTGATGCTTAAATATCGTGATGCCCGGCTGTTTAAATCTCTGACCTTGGCTGAATTCATAGCTTTCGGCGTATTTGGAGATGTCATATGTGAAGCGTTTTCAGCACGCAGAACTGAACTGGACACATATCTCGCCATTATTTCTGATTCAGCCATGACCTAGGGAGGATCATTATTCTAGGAACATTACAAATCATTTTCAGCAAAGCTGCTAAGTACATTCAAAGATTCAACCAAAGACTTGATCAGTCCGTAGTCGACCTGGCTCTAATTAGTAGACATTTCACCGAGCATCAAGCTTTTTCCTGCTCAATCTGCGGGTCTTTCTCTCACCCGGAGGTGAAAGTAAGCCATTACGCAGGAGTACGCCATTTCGGGAAGACATAATCAGCAGTTTAAAGTTTTCACCCCTTCCACGTATCTAGGCTTAGTGTGTTGCTGCACATCAGTCTGCACTCTGCGTTATAACAGAAGTGATCCAATAGGACCATGCCGCTTGAGAGTGAGTGGTATTTGCTTACAAATAAACTCCAAGTGGGAGCACCAGTGCGCACTTTTGTTTGGACGCAGGTTGCCTAGGTGCAGGGGCCCGCCTTCCGCCTTTTGCGGAAGGAGGGAACTTTTAAAGAGTCAGCTGCTTCAATCTTAATGCAGAAATAAGACAAAATGCAGAGAAAAAATAAAAATAAATAATGATTGATTTTATGTTCAAGAGAGAGAGAGAGAGATACAGCAGATGATGATACTGTGGCATCGGAGTCAGCAACTCGCTTAACTTTGGTGTGCTCCTCTTGTACAAAGTCTACAGGTACAGAACCTGGAGGAACCTTATCCTACCTTGTCCACTCCTGCCCACACCTCTAATCGGTGCCCTAAAACTGTGGCTACAGGCCAACCACCCAAGCCTCTCTAAGCCTACTACTCGGAGAAGCCAAGTTACTCCAGGGATGGGCATCTGAAATCAGCGTGCCCAAGACGCACCCACCTGGTAAAACGGGAGAGAACAAAGCTGTCTACTCTGTCAAATGTCCCTGAGCTGGGGAAGGCACTGGCAAAGCATCCCAATGGCTGTTCGTGAAGCCATTCATTCAGACTGCGTTAGTCTGAGTGCAGCCTTGCAAACCTAAGTGCTCTCTGTTGCCAGCTACTTGAGAGCTGGTTAAGCAAAATCAGCATTAAAGTTTATACGATTCTGCATGGTCTCACTTTACCTCTTTTGTACCACCTTCTCTGTAGCCCCAACGCTCTAAATATATCCATTGTATGTGCTTTAATAGTCCACTGTTTTGAATCTCGCACTTTTTTTATATATATATATATATTTCCAAAACTAACTCTGTCTTTGTTCTTTATCCTCCATGTCCAGCTGCCTGAGAGGCCGGCCATTGGCCAGCCAGCAAGAGTCTCTCCTTGCCACTGAAAAAGGGAAACCTATATCCAGATTGTGGCTTTCTGCTCACCCTGCCTGCTCTGCCAATCCTGCCGGCTCCTACCTGAGTACAACTCGCATTCACCATGCATAGGTGCAGCTACAACTGCATCTTCCATTGTCCCCGTCTCGACGCTCAAGGCTACGGGTCGATGGTCCTGATCAGCCTTTGAATGATACCTCAGGCCCAACGCTAATATATTATTATTATTATTATCATTATTCGAATATTCCTATGCTCAATTAGCTACGGAGAAAAAAAAATTGCTGCTGCTCCTAAATTCTGTCCCATATCTATTGTATTAAGCATATTCCCAATTATAAATTTGTGTATGGATTAAATTAATCCTGATCCATGATCATGTTGTGAGGGTAACCAATACTATGCAAGCTTTGGAGGTGGGTAGGTTGCTTCATAGTTTCTCGCTGCTGGCTGCCCTCCCTCCCCCCTAGGTGCCTTCATGTAGCTCATGAAAGCCGGGGAGGGTTGCCGGTATGGTTGTTCTGGGGGACCTAACTTTTTGCCGCTGCTTCCCCTGCCTTGGCTTTAATGTAGCACATGAAAGCCAAAAGGTTGTCTGGTATGGTTGTTTTGGGGGATCCTAATTTACCTTAATTTTATTTATCACTGCTGCTTTTCTGCCTTGGCTTTTCACATATGCGCATGAAAGGGAGGGGAGGGCATTCCCTCTCATAGCCTTGGGATTCTATGCAAGCTCATGAAAGAGCAGGGAACTCTCAGAACAGAGCCATGCTGCCAATGTTAAAAAATTTTTGCTAGTAATAAATAATTAATTCTAACTAAAGTAGTCCTGACTGAAATAAAGTATGGCCGTAGTTCAGGCAGGACACAAGGTACAGTCAAGATAAAGGTTAGAGTCAGCTGATCTTAAGCTAGCCCTCAGTCAGATGACAACTCAGCTGATCGCCCTCCACACATCCTCCAGATCGCTACACGGCTCATTCCTTTCACATAGGTGCAGCTACAACCGCAGCTATGACGGCTCCTGTGTCCACCCTCAAAGCCATGGGCCAATGGTCGTCAGCCAAGTACGAACGCTATCGGTGCCCTGGGGCTCGGGACATTCTAGAAGCCGAAAAACTATGAGTACCCATAACTTTGACACATAGATGCTAATTAAATGAAATATATAAATAAACACCCCGCAGATAAATATCCATGCTTGGGCAACGGGTCTCTCTAACCCGTCTCTCTTTCAGCAGCTCTCACCTCCCCTGCTAGCTCCTAGACTGCACGGCATGGTTGTTTTGGGGGTTTCTGTTCATCGCTGCTCTACCCCCCGCCGCCTCCGCCTTCATGATGGCTCGTGGAGGGCGGGAAGGTGCTCTTCCTGCCGCTGGCCTTTCACCCCTGCCAACGTGGAGAACGGGGGCCCCGAACAGAACCTCACATGTGCTCCCTGCTATCGCCTTTCATGATGGCTCGAAGCGCGTGGAAGGGAAGGGACCCAGAGCAGAATCATGCCGCCAAATCTACCGTATTTTCCTGACTATAGAGCGCACCTCAATATAAGCCACACCCACAAAGTTTAAAAAAAAGATTGGAAATGTACTTATATAAGCCGCACCGGCCTAAAAGCCGCGGTTATCTACTGAACTGAATATTTAGTTTAACTGAACATAACTGAACTGATCAGTTTCCGAACGGTGCCCAAAGCATAAAAGTGCTTATCAAATAAATCAGAAAAGTTATTGATCGCTTTATTCATCGTCCTCCTGCGCACTGAAACTATCTAAGTCCTCTTCTTCAGTGTCGGAGTTGAACAGCCTCAGGAGAGCTTCGTCACATACCTTTTCTGTGGCGATGTCAGTGTTGCTCTCCGTGTTGCTCTCCGTGTCTGTCATCATCCCGGGGTGAAGCTGACTCTGAAGCTGAAGTGTCCTCTTCACGCAACAGTCCAGCCTTTCGGAACCCATTGGTGATGGTAGATTCCTTCACGCTGCTCCACGCAGCTAGGATCCACTGACAGACATCAGAAAATGATGCTCTTCGCATGCGGCCAGTGTTTGTGTCGGATTTATCGCCACTCGTCATCCAAGTCTCCCATTCACAGTGGAGTGCTGCTTTAAACGCTCGATTCTGCTTGCATGTGCTAAATGAAAATTAGCACTTTCTTCTTTTATGTTAAAATTTGACTTTCACCTGTCTCGTTTTTTTCACTTTATACTAAAGCGCCCCCCTGGTGGGTGAAGAAAAATCCACAGAAAAGCCACACCACATTATAAGCCGCATAGTTCGAAGTTTGTGAAAAAAGTAGCGGCTTATAGTCAGGAAAATACGGTAACTTGCACAATAAAGCTAAAAATTTTGACAAAGTGTACCTGACTGAAATTGTCAAGAACAGCAGGATCTAGCCCTGGTTTTTTGATCAGTGGTTGCACCACTGTTTTTTTGAAATTCATAGGGACCACACCTGAGCACAGACTGCTTTTAATGACTACAGTACTATATGGTCCTAGTGAAGGAAGACCTCCTTAAAAAGTCGAGCAGGAACAGCATCATTCCTGAGGGCTTCATATGACCACCAATCTCCTGTAGAGAAGACAGAGTCACAGCCTCAAACTTGTTAAAAACAGCAGCGCAGGGGGAAGAGACTGAGGGGTCATAAGCAGAGGGAGAAATTAGAGCGAAGAAAATTTTCACAAACAGCAGGGGGGGCCTCGATACATACAGACTGTGGGGCATTCAGAACAGAGTCAATAATTTTAAACAAGATGCAAGGTTTGTGACAGTTTGACAAGATGATGTCAGACAAATATTTTTCTTTTAGCAGCTTTCACAGTTGTTCGATAACGTTGCCAACAGTCCCTAAGCACCTGAAGTTTGTCCCTCTTCCATTTGCGCTCAGCTCTGCGGCACTCATGTCTGACAGCCTGAGTTGTGTCACTTAGCCAGGGCTCAGATCTGGTTTTAGGCTGCCTGTTATTTTTTTAATGGAGCCACAGTGTCTGAGGCAGTCTGACAGGTGGTGTGAAGCCATGAACTGAGCTCCTTGGTAGTGCACACAGACTCAGGAAAGACGCAGTTCAGATCAAAGGCAGTCAGAACTGAGAAGCAGTGGAAGTTAATAATACGACAGTGCCGAGCAGCAGCTGCAGGTTTAACCAAAGCGTTACAGACAAGAGCACTTTCAAATAATATATGCATTTGATCTGAGAAAGCTGCGTCACATATCTCAAGATTAAAAACAGGCGGACCTATAAGATAAAACAAGATCAAGTGTGTGCCCATCTTCTTGTGTGGGTCCAGACACAGACTGCACAAGATTAAAAGAGTCAATGAAGAACTTTGCCATAGGGTTATCAGGACAACACACATGAACATTAAAATCACCAACAATAAGGACACGGTCACATTTAAGCATGATTTCAGCAAGGAAATCAGAAAATTCCTTAAAGTCCTTATTGTATTTCGGAGGCCAATAGACCACAGTACACAATACAGTGTGGGAGCAGCCCAACTTAAATACACTTAGTTCAAAGCTGGTGAATGAGGATGAAGGAGAGAGCTGCTTACACTTGTAAAAGTTCTTAAAAACAGTGACTATTCCTCCTCCTCAGCTGGACACAATGACCACAGGTTGCGATGATTTACCCAGCGCCAGCGGGGACGGGAAGAGGAGGGACTGCTGAAGCACCTCATCCAGGTCGATGACAGGTGTCAGCCAGGGCTTGACAGGATCTAGCGAGTGCCGGGAAATGAAGAAGCCACACATAGCTCCAGACTCAGTCCAAGGAGTAGAAGAAGAGTCCACCACAGAAGCCTTCAGCCTCACCAGCCGACCACTACATCTACCCTGATGACGGGTGTGCTTACGTCGAGAAGGTAGGGCCGGGGTGCAGCAAAGGTGAGCAGGGATCCTCGCCTGGAGCGGGGGCAGATTCTCACGTCCACCATGATCCAAGTTTACTAGATCTTAAAGTCATAGATCCAGAAGTGTTTGGCGAATGTACACCAGCAGAGAGTTGATGATTTAATTTTTGAAATTTTATAGGGGGCGATATGGAGCCATATTTGGTTGTATCTCCATTTTGACAATGGAACCCTAAAGAGTACGCCCCTCCTAATCAATGTACCAAATTTCATGTGTCTGTGCATATCTATAACAACGTCACAGAATGCAATTTTTTTTAGATATTTCATAGCGCCACCTAGGTGCAGTTAAAAAAATTATGGTACTGTGGATGCCACTTTGGTATCCCATCAGGTGTGTCCTGAATGAATCTCAGCTGCATCCCATCAATTAAGAAGGAGTTGCAGGCCAAGAATTGAAAAAAAAAAAAAACATGTTTGCCTTCACCACCAGTTTGAGCCATAACATATGGATAAAGGTTTGATGTCAAATTGTCAAGTGCTTGACCATCATCAAATGACTAAAATCCCCAACCCAGCAGCGGCATGGTGGCTGTCTAGCATGAGGCTGGTCCTGCCCAAGGTTTCTGCCTGTTAAAAGGAAGTTTTTCCTTGCCACTGTAACTCATGTTAGTTGAGATGGGCCAAAACCCATCTTAGGTTGGTTCTTGATCATCAAACAATGAGCGTGGTCCAGACCTGCTCTTGTTCCTTGAAAAGCGTCTTGAGATGACGACTGTTGTGAATTGGCGCTATATAAATAAAATTTGATTTGATTGATTGATTGAAAATCTGGTGAAGCTGGAACCAGCATATGGCAAGTCCTACAAGAAACTCCCCGAGCATGATAATCTGTAGGATGTGCTCGCGAGTCATTTTTTCCATTCATGTAGGGGCGCTGTAAATACACAAATTTTAGCCAGGCCAAACCCACCTGATGAATTTCATGAGGTTTTAAGCCCGTCCAGTTGAAAAATTGAAAAACGTTTAAAGTTGATGATAATAAACAATTCCTTGGATTTCAATAGGCTCTCGCCTGCTGCTTGCAGTGTCAGCTCGGGCCCTCATCAATAATTCCTAACATTTCAATAGGGCTCCCACCCACTGCTTGCAGCGTCCGCTTGGGCCCTCATGAGATGTCTTTGCTTTCAGTCATGTCAGTGACAGGATGAAGATATTACTGAGAGTCAGTCTGTGCTTCTTGGTCATCACACTTTCTACCATTTTATCTGTTCTGTCAAAACTCGAGTGAATATTGTTACCTCTGTGTATAAACTCTGTCACTTAAAGGACAAATTAAGTCTGAGCATGAAGACCTGCTAGTAAGTTGGACAGAGTTCGAGGAGGAGGTCAGTAAAACTTGATCTGATGCTTAAAAAACATGGAGCTGTTCTTGTTTTGGTACTCAGTGTAAGGTAGACTGATCTTTTGTTTCATCATGTTTACAGCATCCTTTCACAGTAATAAGCCCCCTGGAGCTCCTCTCTTAATCATCTTATCATCAGCAACTATTTCCATCTGCAGTTCAACACCAGACCAGACCCTGGAGACAGCTCTGTGGACTCTTGGACTCTATGGAGGCTGAAACCACCTTCACAAACAAGCTAATTAACTCACTGTGCATTACAGCTTCATGCCTTCACTTTGGGGCTTTTCGGCAGAAATCCTGCAGAACAACACACACACACACACACACACACACACACACACACACACACACACACACACACACACACACACACACACACACACACACTGTATATTATTCACAAGAAGTTAGGGATGGTCTGGATTTTAATGAAATAAGTAACAGTTCCCTTTGATATTACTATTAATGAATGAATGAGAAGAAACACCATTTTCCCATTTCACTTCCACTTCATCAACTGTCCCTTCTCAGAAAGATGAATACCACAGGCTAAATCCAACAGAATGAAAAGACTTCTCCATTGTTAACACTTTATTTGAATTTTGCACAAACATACAAAAATCACCTTCTAAGCAGTTTGAGAAAATAAAAATACCCTAAAGTAACAAAACACAAACTGATTCATTTTAAAGGATTTTTTTTCCAGCAACAGAGCCATTTAGGGCCAATGCCAGAGGAATGCAAAGTCTAAGATAGTACGACTAGAGAATAGATTAAGCAACCTTTTCCTGCTGAGGAGTGTCTACAGCTCTCATTGTCTGTGATTTTTTCTTTATCATTTATTATCAAACAGACAAAAAAGCTGTTCTGATTTTAAACAGAGATGTTAGTATAGGTGCTGCTATATTAAAGTAAACCTGAAGGAACAGACTTTGCTCTGGAAACAGAGTATTGTCTGTTAATCCTTGTTGTTATAAACATAATAATCAGATTGAATGATGAAAGGTGAGCTATTCTCAAACACCTGTCAGCTCTTCATTTAGTTTAATGTTCTTTCAAGGAACCCAACTCTGAGATTAGACTGAGGATGCTCCTACACTCCCATGTGACAGTATGAATGTTAGAAGGAGGTGTCTGTGGTTTTTACCGTGTTTCTCGAAAGAACAGGCTTTTACTAACCATGCGTATTTTGGACATTTTTAATCCATACAGTAAAGGGTTAATGAGTGGCTGACCTGTCAGCCAGTACAAGGACAGAAAAATACGTAACAACTTTGGTAAAGCTTGAAAGTTAAACCTGCTCTGAACTATTTCAAAGAAACACCCTGAAGAGAAGTTTAACAGAGAGGCCAGATGAGGTGTGCAGGTGCTGACAGCTTTCTGTCTGGTCTGCTTGGAGCCTGAAAAACAGACTTTAAGGATCCTTATG